GTAGCCCATGGCAACCCACTGTAGCAGTGGCTGCACCCCAGCTCCAGGTCAAGCTGTTGTTCAGCATCTTAGCTGTGGAGGGCAGTGTCACTGGCCCTCATATGTGGGATCCGAACCACAGCCCTCTGGCCTCCCAAGCCAGTTCTTAACCATCGCGCTACTCGGCCGGCCCCCCCAGTAATTTTTTAAAAGAACAAATATTACATTAAAATAACCTAGAATTAATATTTTAACATTTATTTTCTTAAAAATATTCACATAAGGCACTGTTTTCTTAAACTGAAACCGTTTTCTTAACTCTAAGGAGTTCATATGGTGGTAGAAATATATTTATAAGCAAATACCTATAATAAAATGCACAGGTTTTATAAATGTGATATATACACTAAGAGAGCAATTAATTCAACCAGGGAGGGATCAGGAACAGGTACAAAAATAAGATGAAAATTAAGATCAGTTGAGTCTTATTGTTAAGTGGTCTACCTATAGAACCGGAACACATCTACAAATTACCTATGCCTCATTTTACAGACAGGGTTCTTCATTACCATATTTCCCATACCTGTATTCCTTTATAATTTGACAAAAAAGTATTCAGCAGCAGTGATGTACCTGGATAGGTACAAGAATCGGCAAAAAAAGAAAAGAGCTTAGACCAGGGGTCAGCAAATTTATTCTGTAAAGGGCCAGACAGTAAATATTTAAGGCTTTGCAGGCCATATGGTCTCTGTCTCAACTCAACTTAGCCACTGTAGTGTAAAAACTGCCATAGAATAGCTACAAATAAGCATAGCTGTGTTTTAATAAAACTTTGTTCACCAACACCGACAGTAGACCGACTTTGGCCATAGGCCACTGTTTGCCAACTCCTATCAAAGGCTATTGACTGAGATGAGAAAGTAAACCAGAGTGTTGAAGCACAGAGAAGGAGAGCCAACTTGGCCTGGAGGTGATCAAGTTGGACAGATGTGTTCCAGAGCTAAATCTGTGCCTTTCTCAGCTTTGTTTATACCTTCCATCAAAATTTAGTTCTGGAATAGCTGCCTACAGAGGGGAGGCGATGGGAAATGGAGTATGAAGACAAAAAGAGTAAAAAGAAATAAAAACCACAGGCTTTGCTGGAATGTAATAATGCAGCTATTACAACTAATATAATTAATCTATGATGGACTAACATGTAAAGATAATCCAGATAATTTTTTAAGTGACAAAAGCAAGATAGAGCATGGTATGTACTCACACACTATCACATTTCTAAATATGTTTGTCTGGATGTTTATGTGTACATGTGCAAGTATGAAAAAGAAAGCCTGGAAAAATACACCAAACTAAAAACGGTGATAATCTCAGGGATGGAGCACTGGGGAAAGAAGACTTTCCATTTCTGAACCTTTTAATAATTTTATAATTTATTTTGTTTATAAAAATTAAATTTTATAAGTTTGGAATTAGAAGCAAGTTCAAACACCGACTACGTGATTTTGCGAAAGCTACTTAACCTCTCTTGGATTTCTCATCTGTTAAACAGAAAAACTACGCTAATTCATGGGAGGAGGAGGGAGCGGGGAGGTTATAAGAATTAAAAGGGACAACAAATAAAACAGAGTGCTCCCTCCATTCCCCTATGTAAAAGCATGCAATTAAATTTAACAATGGGTGGGCCGGCCAAGTGGCGCGTTGGTTAAGAACTGGCTTGGGATGCCAGAGGGCCCCGGTTTGGATCCCACGTATGAGGGCCAGTGACACTGCCCTCCATAGCTAAGATGCTGAACAACAG